ACCTGATTTTTTATCACGTGAATATTTGCAGGATGGAGTGGCCGCAAATTGATTATCTTAAACCACTATCCGTAATACATATTGCTTATAATAAGATTGTTGCTGAATATAAGCATTGTAGAACGGAATATATTTTTGCAAAGCATAGATTAAATCACTTTTTACGAGTTCGTAATACGATTCTTCATTGTGCTGATGAATTTACTTCACCACAACAGATAATATCTGTTTCAAAAGAACTTGAATTTGTCTATAACATGATAGAAGACTTCACTGAAAGATTAGCTGAAAGTGAAGAAAGGTTAAATTATTGTAAAGCAAAATTATCATTAATAATTCTCTAATTTTACAGGATTATGTATCCGCCCGATAGAGGACGCGGCCCTAATAGAGGTCGTGGAGGAAGAACAATAAACCCTGTAATACAACATGGGAATAAAAAGCTAATAGCGGCTGATTTTTCAAAATCTCAGGAGGAATCCTCCTCATCAAATGTGAAAATGGTCCAAATAATGGATTTTATTCAGAATTATTCTGCATTATATAAGCAGATTATGGATTATATCCAAGAGCAACAAGGTGATACCTTTGCTACTAAAGTAAGTGAAACTGACCAGGATGATATCCAGTCATATGAAAAAGGATCCACAAAGGAGGTAATATTCTTTCTTGAAAACGCTGATATTCAGTGAAAAAATGACCCATGGGTAATATTCCGAAGATATCTAGCAGAAAGGGTAATGATACCGGGTGAGTCATACAAACCCAGAAATTATTATGAGAATATTCTCAAACAAACCTGTGAAATAACACATTTTCAGTCTAATCAGACTACAACTGAAGTTATAATTTATCAAAAATTATTATTAAAAAGATTTTATCTTCTGAGAAATGGGGAATTTCAACCCTTTCTGAAAGAGAAGTACGTAATACTCCTACTTCTCCTCCTTTGAAATTTACTTACTGGGATTATATTCAAAGTTTTTACAAAACCTTTTATTATGAAAACCCCAGAAAAAAGCATACTTGGTTCATTAAGATATGTTCCCATATTCTTCTCCCATACCCAATTGGTTTATCCAGTGGTGGGCATTATATGGCCCAACAATAAAAATTTTGCCAGATAATTTTTCAAAATTATATTATCAATGGTTAAAATCTTCCCCTATCATTGATATACTTCAACACAGTCATATCTGTGCTCCGGGAAAAATCACTTTGTTATACTTCTTTATTGAATTCTCGATTCCATGGATTTATAAATGGGTTCCTGAGGTTGGATTCAATGAATTTCAAATCCCGTGTCTTTATAAGACATATTATACCAAATTTTGGGATAAATTAACAAAAATGAATCACAATACCAAAAGAATGGAAGGACAGGACTTGATGGACGAAATTGCCCAAAAAATCAAAGAATATACTCAGGACAAAGGACAGCTCAAAGCAAACCCCGATGAAGAGAGTCCATTCAAACACATCACAAAACGAATTTAGCTTCAGTAGGGAGCAATTAATAAGGAAGAGATAATATCTGCCTATATGAAAGAAGTTAAAGCAGATCTTATGAGAAATTTAAAAAATCTCGATAATGATAATATTTCAGAAAAATCAGATGTTTCGATGAAGAGTATTACTTCCAATGAAGAAAAATCTTTTGCAATATTGGCCGGAGAATCTCAGCCATCAGAAAATGATGACGATCATGATGAATTTATCAAAAATCTGTTACAGCAGATCCAAGAAACAGCTCAATCCCACAAAGGAAAAGAAAAAGTATGAAGTGACAAAAGTAGGAATCTACTTTTGAAATTTAATACAAGTGGGCCCCACAAGCAGTCAAATCTGAAGAAAAGCATGTCAAATAATGACAAGAATTAATAATTCTTTGTAAAATAGTACTTAGAAACTTTGTCTATAAATAGAATGTATTAGTTCATTTGGAGGGCAACGATTCTCTCCTTTCTTCTTCTTTTCTCCAAAAACTCTCTCTTTCCCTTGTAAACAAAATCATTCAGTAAATATATCTTTCAAGTTTGAAGAATAGAAGAAGCTTTCAAAGGTAATTTTTTCTTTTAAGTTTGTTTTAATTTATAGTTTGAAGTACTCAGACAATGTCTGAGTAAATCCTTTGTCTGAATCAAACATTTGGCTTTTGTTTACATAAATTATACATGGAAGCTCTATCTCCTTCTTTTCTTTTAATTAAAATACGATGATTTGAAATTGGTTCCGATTCCGAGTTCAGTCGGAAAACTCAACAATAAGTGCATTGGGCTGGAAAAGTACCCGTTATGATGAATTGTTTAAGGGAAAAAAGAGGCCACATGATGCACAATAAGTTGTGGATTCCAGACAGGCTTGAGAGTTGGGTGAAACTTTTCCATATATCTCGATTATTGATATTTTAATTAAGGATGGATAGAGATTTTGATCCTGTAGCTGGCTGACATGGCATAGCTCCTGGATGAATGGTATCAGCCAGGGTGGTGGTTTGGATTCCCGGCCTGGTTTCCTTGCTCATCTGTTTGCCTGGTCTTACCGGCTAAGATAAGCACTGGCCAGGCCCCAGCCCCACGCCAACTTGTAATAGAGTCTATGACAATGAAACTTGTGCTGTTAGATAGCATAGGGAAATTTAAGTAAGACTAGAGTTTGCGGATACATTTTAATGTTATAAAAGGGAAAAAAAAAAAGGTAATTTATTTTTATAACTATAGTCCTAACTCATTTTAAAAAAAAATAATCCGATCAAATGTCATTATACTATTCATTGCATTATTTACAAACATGTGTAAGAAAAACTAATCCATTTAAACTCAAAACAGACCCCAGAATGTAAGGTCCTGGAAAAGTCCAAAGAACTATAACCGCACCTATATGACTAAAATGTTCAAATGGTCCTTTATATTTGGGCCTACTTGAATTTACGTCCCTAATATTAACATTTCAATATCGTATTCCCAAACATTATGTGTTCAAACTTTTTCGGTCTCATTTCACTGTTTCCGGTCGTTGACATGCCGGAATCAGGAGCATTTTTGTTTTTTAATTTAATTTGAATTTCAATTAAAATTTAAATCATTAAAAATATTTAAAAATTCAGATTTCATTATTTAATTGTTAAAATATTATTTATTAATTAAAAATATTATTATAAAATTTTAAAATTTATATTATTTTCAAAATTAAGTTTTTTCATTTATCATTTATCTTAGGTCAAAGTAAATAGTAATTATGTTACAATTTTAACCTTGGATTCACTGTAACTTAAAAATTTACCGAATTACAGTAAATAATTCAAAGTTCAATTTCTTTTAAAAAGAATAAAAAGCAAAACCATTTTTTTTTACTCTGACCGCTCAGTAAACCCTAAATGGTAAGTATGTTACACTTTTAACCTTGGACCCACAATAACTTAAAAAATTTACCGAGTTTCAGTAAATAATTCAAAATTTTATTTTTTTTAAAAAAAAAGAAAAACGCAAAACCAAGAATTTTTTTTACTTTGACCGCTACAGTTGAAGTTTGAATTATTTATTGTAACTCGACAAATTTGTTTAAGTTACATTGGGTCCAAGGTTAAAAGTGCAACATAAGGGTTTACTGTAGCGGTCAATTACTTTGTTTTCCTTTTTCTTTTTTTTTTAAAAAAATGAATTTTGAATTATTTACTATAACTCAGTAAATTTTTTAAGTTACAGTGGGTCCAAAGTTAAAAAAGTAACGTAGTGGTCAGAGTAAAAAACTCTTGGTTTTCCTTTTTTTTTTTGAAAAAAAAATTAATTTTGAATCATTTACTGTAATTCAGTAAATTTTTTAAATTACAGTGTGTCCAAGGTTAAAAGTGCAACATAATTACCATTTACGGTTTATTATAACGGTCAGAGTAAAAAAATCTTGGTTTTGATTTTTTTTAAAAGAAAAATTAAATTTTAAATTATTTACTGACTCGGTAAATTTTTTTAATTACAGTGAGTCCAAGATTAAAAGTGTATTATAATTACCATTTAGGGTTTACTGTAGCGGTCAAAGTAAAAAAAAATCTTGGTTTTGCTTTTTCTTTTTTTTAAAAAAAATTAAATTTTGAATTATTTACTGTAACTCGGTAAATTTTCAAGTTACGGTGGGTCCAAAGTTAAAATTGTAACATAATTACCATTTAGGGTTTACTGTAGCGGTCAGAGGAAAAAAAAATCTTAGTTTTACTTTTTTGTCTTTTTTTGAAAAAAAATAATTGAATTTTGAATTATTTACTGCAATTTCAGTAAATTTTTAAAAAAATTTACAGTGGGCTCAAAGTTAAAAGTGCAACATAATTACTATTTACTGTATCCTTAAAGTAAATAGTAAATGAAAAGAGTAATTTTGAAAATAATGACATATTTTAAAATTGTATAATAATTTTTTTAATCAATAAATAATATTTTAACAGTTAAATATTGAAATTTGAATTTTAAAATATTTTTAATGATTTAAATTTTAATAAAAATTTAAATTAAATTAAAAGACAAAAATACCCCTGATTTCGGCATGTCAACGGCCGAAAATAGTGAAATAGGACAAAAAAAAGTGTGAAAACATAATATTTGAGACTACCGTATTGAAATATTAATGTTATAAACGTAAATTTAAGTAGGCCCAAATGTAAAGGACCATTTGGACATTTTAGTCGCACCTATATTGTCCTTAAAGCACAATCCCCATTTCAAAGCAAGCACCCTATGAATTAGCAACCATATCTATTTCCCATAGGCATTCTTTTACCATTTTTAAGTCATGCCTTTCATCGAAACTATCATATCTATACCAACAAGTTGAATCTCTGTAAACTCTTTAGCAATTTCTGCAGTGCTATACTGACCAATTCACCTTGCATCATTTTCTGAAAGTGGTCTCAGACCTCAATCATAACCTTATTTAGAAAGAGCTTCTGATTGCTAACTCTCAAGGGACGACATAAACTATGGCCCCATTCAACAGATTTTGAAGCCAACAAGCTAATCAAATAAATGTGGAATATTCATCGCCAAAAGTTGAGACTTCCTAACTCTTTCTACACTACAACCTTTGAAGCCAGTTATTGTTTCAGACCAGGTTTTAGGACTTCCAACAATTTGTATAAACCAGCTCATTCCAATGAGCTCAAATGTAGGTGCTCTAATTTTAGAAAAATCACTACCCAACCAGTCAATTTCAGTCCCGTCATAGTTCTCGACAGATTCATACATCACGATTTCGCTAGCAACATGCAGCTTCACAACCTCATCAGTCAGATTTTTTAAAGAAACGTCATAATCATCAGCACATTCAACTAATTCATCAATAACCAGTAAATCATCACCCAAAATCTCTACAGAGTTGCCACCATCATCTTCAATGCATGCAGTTAAATCATTCACAAAATCCTTAAGAAAATGATTTCTCATTCCTCCTGGTTCAATAGCAAATAAGCTAAGATGGTTTCCTATATTAATGAAATCCTTCCCACCTACAGTGCCTTCACATTTAAGTTGATCAACTGACACAATCATCAAAAATATCATCCAACAACCCAGAATTACCATCAGATTTTCCGAGCATAACATCATAATCGCATCAGAATACACTAGGTTTTCAAGCTGCTTAATGCACTAATGCATGAATGACCATCTAGATACAGCAACAAGAATAAATGTACGGTAAAATGTCTAGTATGCAAAGTATGAAGAACATCATACTAGCAATAACAGGAAAAAGTTGCTTTTGAAAAATGACATCGATCTATCAATCGATGCAACGGCTTCATGACTGTGAGGCAGCAAACAATGGATTAGAAGTCATTCTTGCAGAGGAGAATCATTTGAAACCCTTGAGATGTGAATAAACCAACTAGGCCAGATGATAACTAGATCATCATTGATAATCAACTGTTGAACATTATGTCGTTAATTTTGTAGATGGCAATATCAGAAATAGGTTCAATAGGCAGCTCATCACTGTCTGTTAGAGCAATGCTGCTGCTTACTGGTTCTCTACTGGATAAATCTGCAAAAAAAAAAAAAAATAACACAACATTTTTCACCCTTCCCAACAACAATAATATGTCTAATCTATTATTTCATTCAGGTGACACGTCATAGACTCAACTAGTGATCATCTTTAACTAAAACTTGAGATGTCTCTTGAAATTTAAAAATATTTGGAATTATGAAACCATATCATGAGCATATTGTTTGTTTGCACGTAATTTAGAAAGTCAAGAGAATCAACTGCTGGAAAATAATTTGAAAGTAAATGTACGAACCAAACTGAATTACCGAATATTGTATTGAAAGATGTAGGGGGTGGAGTGGCCATGAAATTGAGTCCAACGTAAAATCCAATTGCCAGCGCTACAGTCACAGTTACATAAGCTGGCACCGCCAGTGCCCAATACCTGAAAATAAAAATACAAGTAAAAAGACTTCTGATAAACATGAACATGGGAATGTAATAATTAGATGAAACAAGGAGTACAACTAGAGATAAATTTTTTAGAAGGAAAAACGATTTGTTATGGTGCCACTTGAGAGGATAGCATCACTAAAACTCCTCAGAGAGAACATGTGCATGTCTGTAGGCGGTAATCATGCTGAAGACTCTGTTATTGAACCTAACCAATTTTGCTTGGCTTTCCCATAGTTAGCAGAGATTTAGGTACTAAGGTCCAAGGATTACAAATTGGTTAGGCTTCATGCAACTTAGTTCTCAAGGGAACCTTATCTGCATGGTCAAAAGTTATAGGCTAGTTGCTATGATATTTTGCCTTTCTCACATTCACTGGACTTCTTCTAGAGATCAGACAAGGCAAAGCAACCAAATAGTTCAGCGAAAAAAAGAACCTGCTGAGTGCTAATTTGATCATTAAGAGAATCGGGAAACCAGTTCTTCTAATATTATCAAACAAAACCTTCAAAATATTGCCGAAATACAAGGCGCCCAAGTATAAATACATATCATCCACACATAAGAGGAGAACATGGTTGAGAACGAACCTGCTTGGGTAGTAGGAGATTCCAACCGAGTGCAACCAACTGTCTGGAGCAAATGCCCACACCAAGAATACAACTGCCCATAAAAAAAGAAGAAAAGTTTTAGGCCTGTGAATAATTCCCAGGAACCAATCGTAAATCACATTTTAATAGGTAGACATTAATTGTTTGGTTTATCAATGATTACAATGTTATGTTATACAAAACGCATGGTACTTCCTCGCCTCAAGTATCTACAAGAACCGCTCAATCCGAAGATTTAAACAAGCCTACCCAATAAAGTCGACATATGAAGCAGTTACTCCTTGATCGGTGGATGAAACCACCATGCAATGCAGGACTTAAGTCAATAAATTGCAGTGAGACAAAAATTTGTGAATGGAAAGAGAATGAATAGGAATGTCACCTGTAGCTACAACAGTGGAAATGGAGCCAACAAAACCATAAACTTCTGAAGACTTAGGACCATGCTCCCCAGAAATACCAAACCCTGAAGTACTCTTGTCATTTCTTGTTTTTGATGGGTAGGGAAACGATTCAATGACTTTTCTATTCTTTGAGAAGCTCAGAGTTCTCCTTGGACTATTAACAGAAAGTTGGTCCTCCATTTACTGCAAATTCACTTCCCACCCTATTGGTATACCGGCACCAGTCTTGGAAAATGCTGAACAAATGATTTTTCTGGTTGATCCACTGAAATATTGATGTGAATAGTAAGTGCCAGGTAAATTTTCTTGAATAAGCAAGCACTGTGTTCAAAATTTAGAATGCCCAGGAAACATTAATGCTAACTAAAACATAGTATCACAGCATGATTGATGTACAATTGCGGAGACATGAAACTGCAATGATAAGGCCATTATCCAAGATCTACAGTAATAAATCTACACAGCAACTTGCATTTTAACTAAAACACAACCATCAATTTCCAAATCAAAGTCAAACAACAAAAATTAAAAGAGAAAATTGATGTCAACCATATTCAACCACAGCGCAGGATGAACACGAAGTAAAGAAAGAAAATTTAGTGAATGCAACAGGAGATCATGAGAATTTAAGATGAGTTCAACAAGTAAAGAGAGTAAGTGGACAAGATATGTAAGGGGTGAAGAGGGAAGGGAATTTTTGACTACCTGGAAGGTAGTGGGTCAAAAATGATGACTAAATTGAGGTATAACATCATGAAATTTATGCTCCCTCTGGTCTAAGAAGAAATCAAGAGCAATTCCATCACTTTTCGGTCATGCATCCGTAGACACAGAGATGGAAGTTTCAATAAAACAGAACCCTTTGGAAAGATCGATATATATGCTTTGCTTTGCATAACCCAAACTTTTTGAGTTCCTGTGGATATTATCATCTTCTCAAGCAAGAGAAGAATAAGACTTACTTTTCACTGCAGCCAAATTTATTCTAAAAATAAAAAATAAACACAAGAGAGAGAGAGAGAGAGAGAGAGAGAGAGAGAATGTTCCAATTCAGATCGAATGAATCATAATTTTGTTCAAAAGAAAAACTTTATGTTACAACTAATTAACTCACTGATCTGTAAAGTTAAATAGCAAGAACTTGCGTAAGCAAATCAAAAGAACTAAATTCAAATGGTGTGCCAAAGTAATCCAGAAGACATAGATACAGAAATTTTTGTTAGCCAGGAGGTCCATACATTTATTCAAGAGAACAATAGAGCCATTGATGTTATTGGAAAAAAGTGCACAAATGTGTACATTTATGGACTTTAATTTAAAAGAAAGATTTACGTCAGGTCAAAAAACACAATGGAGATTTGAAGCTGCTGACACAAAGAGAGGACTTCAATAAAGACCGTTAATTGGAGGTACCTGAGCGAGCTACACCAAAGATATGTAAAGATGAAAATTCTAAAAGTAATCACGCAAATTATAGATGCAGATCTAAAACTCAAACTCAAACAAGAACAAGTCATAATCTAACAGTTCATTCCGTTCTAATATTCTATCCAAAAGTTATCAATATGGCGTCTCTAGGATTGGAGTCCAAAAGATGCGAAGATTTGGTAAGATATTGGAGTACAAAATGAACGGTGAGATAAATCAAATATTAGAAAAAGAAACCAAAAGAAACATTGCAAGCCTGCCTTCAAATTGTGTATAGCTTTTCAGGTACGTCAGTTCGTACAAAATGGAGTCTCTTTCCAGATGACATTCTCATATCTAAACAATCTAGCAAAACAAGACACCAACTGCTCCTGTACAAACTCATCGGCAGGAAGACTAACAACGTTACCTACTTCTTTCCTCAATGATGTAACTTCTTTATCAGCAATCCCACATGGTACAATATTTTCAAAGTAACTCAAATCTGGATCAATGTTAAATGCCAACCCATGTGAAGTAATCCCAGATGAAATCCTCACCCCAATGGCACCAATCTTTCTTTCCTCAACCCAAACACCAGTTTCCCCAGTCCCTGCCTGTCCAGCACGAGCTTTCACGCCATACAAAGTGGACAATTCAATCATGGTTTGCTCTAGTGTCTCAACATACTTTCTTGCCCCAAATCCGATATCTCTCAAGTTAATAATCGGGTATAGAATTGCTTGATGAGGACCGTGGTAGGTGACATCACCTCCTCTTTGGGTATAATGCAACTCAGCTCCTACAGCTTCGAGTTGTAACTCAGAGACTAAAAGGTTATGATCAGTTTTCCTTTTACCAAGCGTGTAAGTATGTGGATGCTGCAGAGACAGTAGCGTATCAAGGATTTTCCCATCCTTTCTCTCCGAAACCAACTTTTCCTGCAACTTAAGTCCTTCCGAATACTTAACAACTCCCATCCTCCAAACCTCAAGGATTCTTCTCCTTGCCATCTATTACCGTGATCTTTTACTCCTATAACAAGTTTAGACATATTAATACTCTTTATTCATGTAAGACGTTCCAGTACTGTTAAACAAACGTTTGTCAGGAACTAGGATTTAGCAGTAATTAATGTTCAAACTTAAAAACAATAGTCACTTTATGAAGATGCATATCTCCTTCGGTTTGCTATTTGAACAATCATTTTGGCACTTCAGTTGAACAGTGGCAATATACTCTAATTCTTAATAAATGATATTATGAACTCTTCTTTTTATTTTGAAGGGTATACAGGGAAAGCACTCATTTCCTAAACATGGCCGATAGGAAGTCATTTACAGGCTAATTAGAAAGTGATTGAACACTAACCTTCATATTAGCTTAGTTGTGTACCGAGTTTTAACAAATAATTTTAGCATAGTTTATGTATCCTAAAAAACTACAAACAGAAACTGGGTTAATTAATTAATATATATAAAATCAGAATTCAAAAGTTTAGTTACTAACCAGAACATAAAAGATTTCTTATTAGCTAATTTAACTCTAGAAAAATTAGCTTAGTTCTGTAACAGATAATTTTGGGATAGTTTACGTATCCTAAGGAACTACAAACAGAAACAAGATTAATTAATATAAATAAAATCAGAATTCAAAAGTTGACTTACTAATGACCGAACACAAGATTTCTTATTAGCTAATGAAACTATGGAAAAACAAATTAAGCTTAACTAATTGGGTAGAATAGCTAGTTATCCACCAATCAAATGTTTAACTTAGTATCCAACTACAACAACCACCTCAAATCCTTTCAGTTAATGACAAATTCATAAAGAAATTGGTATAGTACACAATTTCATTATATGAGATTTATTATATACCACATTACGATCAATTTTAAACATAGATAATAACAAAACAGTCACGAGATTCGGAAATCAGTAAATTTCTGAGAAACAAAACCAAAATAGAGGATAGTCTTAAACACGAACCTTAATAAAGAGGTGAGAAAACAAGGGATTGCTGAAGACCGTATGACAACGCCTTGGTTGATCCTAAAGCTGCAAAATTGCGCTGATACTTGTTTGATGCCAATTCAATTGATTATTTCAGTTGAAAGAAAGGACCTCTCGGTTCTGGAAATGCACTACTGTGATTTCCTAAGAGCAAAAGAACTGAAATCGGCTAGGGTTTGCAAAGGGTAGAAGACTCAGGTTGCCATTTTCCAAGTCGAATAGAGCAGGAGGAGCTGTGTTAGCGGCAATTCAAGGGCGGCAGAGGGGGGAAGACGATGCCCGACGGTGGCGGAGCGCGTATTTTAGCTGTGGAGGTTTATCTTTTTTGAAAGAGCTAACTCCACTATTGGTCACCACTTACTACTGTTATTTTCAAAGCAGAAACATTAGAAATAAACCAAAATTTATGAAATACTAGATTTATTCTAGTTGCTCACAAGTTTGAGTCATGTCAATATGAATTCACTTCAAATAGTCACATTATCATATGACTTAATGAAATTCTAATAATAATTATTATGTGACGCCGGAAACACGATTCATTAGTACCACCGTGTGTTTCTTGGATGGTGGATTGCTTGCAATGTCATCATCAGAAGCCCACCCAAAATATGATCACCATTTGTTTGTTGGACACCGGATCTACACCATTGTCACTATTGGAAAACGGAATAAAAAAATCAGGATCAATTCTTCTTTCTTTCGAGAGATTGACCGTCGCCACCATTGCATAACAATTGAATTTCAAATCTATGAAAATAATTAGATTTTGAAGGAATAGGAAAATGGAGGTGATAGAAGATTACATTAACATTTGAGACGGAGAAAGATTGGTGGGAAAGGAAGAACATAGAGAACCGCCGAAAAAATTAGTAGTAAAAATGAGCACAAAAAAACGACATTTTAATTGGTAATTTCGAATAGTAAACGTCGTCTTTTAACCCGCCACATTAATTAGATTATTTCTGTCGGCTAATATTTGGTTGGCAAAAAAGGAAAACAACTTTATTAATTGACCATTGTAGCCTTGTTTTAACTTGCTGATGTCATGTTATATTAACCAATCAAATGGCTCAATTTAAAATTGATGATGACATGTGAATTAATAGACCAGTCAGAATGTTAAATTTAATTTTTGACCAATGACGTCCAGGATTCTAAACTCACCTAGGGGTTTTACTTATGTGCACAAAAAAGAATAAATAATTTAAAAAGTGGGAACAAAAACCGACGAGCAAAATACGGGCGAGACCGGAATCTAAAAGCCCCTCTAATTTTCCCGCCAATTTCTTCAGTAGAGCAATTCATTTCTCTCTCTCTCTATCTAACATTTCACGAATCTAATCAAACCCAGTTGCACAATAGTATCTCCAATCTCTTCCCTGGAGAAGCTGTAGAATCCATTCCCGTATCAAATTATCGAAGGCTCCCACTGAAGAATGAAGGGTGGAACTGTTCAAATCAATTGGCATGACACTAAGCCAGTGTTAACCCTAGATTTTCATCCCCTTTCTGGGATTCTTGCCACGGGCGGTTCAGATTTTGATATAAAGGTTAGAAGCGGCGCTTTAATTAAAGTGGTTTCTCATATATGATGTTTAATTTACGTTTGCTGTTGCCACTGAGATGGTGATGAATTTTATTCATTTTCGAAGTTCAGTTCTGGTGAATTTTTTTAAGTTGTATTTTAATTATTTACACCAACTATTAACAAAGTTTCAATTTTGGCTTCCTGGGGTTATGAATATTGTTTGATGGTTGGAGCTTTCCTTCTGGAATTGTGGAGTACTCATTACGGACTGGAAATAGCTTTTGGCATAATGATTCGAAAGTCTTGCTGTAGTATTAATAAAATAAGAGGAGAAGCATTAAGATTTTAGACATGTTTTTGGGGGAATTCTTGACTGTGTTAGTTGCCATTGTTTCAGCTATGGACAATGAATTCAGGGGAAGAGCATAATAAAGGTCCAGGAGCTACTTACAAGACTAGTCTTTGCTACCACACGTCAGCCGTGAATGTGCTCCGCTTCTCTCCCTCTGGTAGTCTTGTTTACTTGTATGACCAAAAATTTGAGAAGGATTGCAGTATGAATTCTGCCAAACATTATATTCCTTGCACTCACAGCTTTATACAATTTTATTTATTTTTAATTTATTTATTTTTTTATTTTTAGTTGATGACCAAATTAAAATGTACTTCTGGATTATGATAAGAGTAGAAGTGATTATTACATATTTGTTTGAGTTCTGATAATCTGATTTCTATATACGCAGGTGAGCAGCTTGCCTCAGGTGCTGACGGTATGTATAGCACTCCCGTTGAGTGTATTACAATTTGTTCTTTTGTCTAGCTTCTTTTGTACTTCAACCCTGATTTTTGTGTATGCTGAGCCTAAATTTCCATTTTAGGTGGCGAACTTGTAATGTGGAAGCTGCACTCTACTGACGCTAGTGAAATGTGGAAATTCCTAAAGACTTTCACGTAAGCATTGTGGTTACTTACTAATCTCTATTCTCTTATCATTCCATTTTTATGTTAAGTTTTAGATCTTCTGATCTTTGTCTTCCTTCTGCTTTTTCCCTTTCTTTCCTGTCAACCTTCTAGTAGTACATGTTTCGAGGACCCCTCTTTTTTTTGTCAAAGAGCTCATCGGAATCCTTCAGAACTGAAGTTACATATTACCAGCTTGCAACCACTAAAAGTCCACAAAATAAGTTTCTTTTATGGGTTGCAGAAGTTATCAATGTCCACAATGTGTAACAGCAAAAGTAGTCTGCTAGTTATGGGAGACATGCCTGAGTCATATTTAAATATAATTTCTATCCTTATTAACATTGGAATTGTTTTTTTGGCCAAAACTATCCAGGTTCCATCGTAAGGATGTCTTGGATTTGCAATGGTCTACTGACGGGGCATATTTGCTTTCTGGATCTGTGGATAATTCCTGCATAATATGGGATGCCAACAAAGGTACACTTGGAAGCATGCAATATTTCCTTTCTTAATCATCAGTTGGTGAGTCTTGGTTCGCATTGAAATAAGACTTTCACTATGGAAATAAAAAGATAATAACGCTTTTATGCAGATATGATCCATTAATGAGGAAACTGACTGTACTTTTCAGGTTCTGTGCTTCAAATATTGGAAGGTCATTATCATTATGTGCAGGGTGTTACATGGGATCCTATGTCTAAATTTGTTGCTTCACTTAGCTCGGATAGGACCTGCAGGATTTATGTTAGCAAACCATCTAAGGCAAAAGGAACTGAGAGGATTAATTACACTTGTCAGCATATCATATCAAAGGTGGAATCCCAGATTGTAAATGAACCCAAGGTTAGAAAATCTGTATATGTTTTTGCGTGTTCAGTGATAAAATTGAGACATTCTGTTGAGGTTCTGTTTCTGTTGTACTCTTCAGTCAGGTAAAAGTTTTCTCTTTCATGATGAGACACTGCCATCGTTTTTTCGGAGATTAGATTGGTCTCCGGATGGTACATTTTTGCTCGTACCTGCAGGTATCGCCGTGTCATTGCTAGAATAGATATCTAGTTATTCATTTCAAAGTGTAATTTGCTGCTTTAAGATAAATTCAGTAAAGTCACGAAAAGTGAACACTTTTCTCATTGAAACTCTTATGTGTTTCATGCTCAATAGGTACCTACAAACAAACACCAGGCTCTGAAGCAGTAAACACTGCCTACATTGTTTCTAGAGAAGATCTTTCTAGGTAAGTTTGCCTTTGTTAGTTTAAAAGTAAAATAACCACAACTTCAAGAAACAATCTGCAAGGTTTATGATCTCTAATCTTTTTGACAATGTGATGTAGGATACTGCTCTGTGCATAGCACTAAATTTGATGTTGAAATGCCATCATTTTTGCTAAGTTAAACTCTTAAACTTTTCTGAATGTTTAGGCCTGCACTGATGCTTCCAGGTGCAAGCAGACCTATTGTGGCTGTGCGCTTTTGCCCTTTGACTTATAGCTTGCGGGGACAAAATTCATGTAATCTTTTTGTTGTTTCATTTTTGGGATCATTTGTTGCCTGTGACTTCATCTATTTTCTGAATAGAAATCTTGTCATCTTGTACAGCTACCTTCTTTAATCTTCCTTATCGGCTTATTTTTGCGGTGGCGACGATGAACTCTTTGTATATCTATGACACAGAAAGTGTTGAACCGATCGCCATTGTAGCAGGAATTCATTATGCTGCAATAACAGACATTGCCTGGTACTTACTTCAGTGTCCTCACAGGCTTACCGCTTGACTTTAGCTCTGTTTGAAAAATGACACCCTCTTTGAATATGTTTGATAAGCCTTTCACTTTTTTAAATATGTCCAGGTCTTTTGATGGAAAATATATAGCACTGTCCTCCCAAGATGGCTATTGTACTCTCCTAGAATTTGGAAATGAGGAGCTAGGATCAATTATACATCCATCAGGTTTGCTTTTGATTTTTTTAGTGTTCGTGTTTATTTATCTGCAATTGACATACTGGATCAGGTTTGATTCCATTTCATTTTTTTCAATAGCACCCTAGAACAAGAGATTATGGACTACTAACGAAACAGTAACCATCGTATTGCAGGGTTCCCTGTTGCAAAAAAGAAAGTCAATGACAGCACGGCTGGTGCAGACATTGGTATGGCAGATGCAGCGCGTAAGGAGGAGAAGCAAGAACCATCCATTCAAGTTACCACTCCAGCACCAAATAAACCTGCCAAAAGGCGTATTACTCCGATGTCAATTGACTGAATGTACTAGTGTAGCTCACATGTATAGAGAACCTGCTTTTCTTGTTTTCTTCTGTTTGTTTTGGAGGGTATGGATTTGATGGAAGGTTCACACTGGAGGAATATATGAATCAAAACTTTGTTTGTCCTGCTCATATTTAAGATCATATTATGCACAATGTTAGTATTATAAGACATCCAGAATGAGGTCTTTAGGTCATCTTCAACTCATTACTCAAAGTTGGTGTTTGAGGTGGTATATTTACATTTAACTTAATCCATCTTCTGTCTTTAACACCAATAGGGATATTTGCATTAATAACCTTTCTTACAAGTTGACCCTTTTATCCACTCCAAAAGTAACTCAAACATGAAAGTTCGGTGCATCTGCTCCCACTGAAAAACATCTCCATAACATTATATCACTGGAAGATTTGAGGGTCAACATTATATCTTTACAATTACAAATGTACTTTACACTGATTTGAAAGAGTCAAAATTTGTTACAGAAGATGCGACTGATTCTATGAAATGTTATTTTCATTTCTTAGACAAACAGAGTGCCGCAGGGGAAGAAACAGCAACGAATCGTTACATCTTCTGATTTCTACAAAAGTACCATACAAATGATTGAATTTATCACAACAGACATACAGAGCTCCCCAGGTATCTATACAACTCTATCAAAAAAATCACAGCCACGCCACAATTTCTGGGCGTCTTCCATCAGGAAATGTACACTTGGACAGGAAAAAGAAAAAGCACTTTCATACATGTGACCTGCAACATAAACAAGTATCGAAACAATAAACCTGAGTTGCATTCTTCATCTGAGAAATAAACCAAGGGGATGAGAGAATATTGGGGAATGGGGACTGCAGTAATTACTTCTGACTATGAAACCAGAACTAGTGTTGCTGACAAGTCATACGCCAGGTGAAAAGCAGAAAAAGAATGCCGGAAAGAAATTTTTCAACTTATAAATGTATTCAGCAAATGAGTTCACACAAGGGTAAATTAAGGCACATCTTATAGACCAATGCCCGAGAAAAGTGCATCTTTTCATGCGACAACAACCTGTTGATGGAAAGTAGAGAAAGACAACTACCGGTGGGTAAGTAATACTTATGTAGATTGATTAGTTTGGAACATCAGATGCAGTAAAATGTGATTTAGGCTGGGATGCATCACATAAGAACCAACAACACATCTTTCATGATAAATATGTATTTCAGTTAACAAAAATGGTTACAAATGAAAATGAATAGTTGCAAAAGCTAAAAAAGTGTAAAGATAAACAGATCAACCTTATAACTTCGGGTAAAAAGAGAGGTTATGGGGAAAGCAGACTCTATTCACCTGAAAGATGCCTCTTTGTTGCTAAAAAGCGCGGTAAGAAGCAATTCATTCCATGTGTCAGGTACTCCAGGTAGACACCAATGGCTGCAATCTGACATGTTTGGCTTGTCCCCCCAAAGGCCCACATGTGCATCACTCCGAAACGCAGATAAGGGAGTTATGTGCAGAACTGTGACCGGAACAGCCATGGTCTTCACTACATCCAATATGGTGTCCGAAAAAGGGCTACTTTCATACCCTCTGGTCTCTGAAAGAGGTTGAGTCGTCACGTCACATAAGCGCAAGGTTTGATTACTGATGCAATAAAATGTAGTTTTAGTAACTTGAAACGAAGTAATCTAACATGGTGACTTCAGCACCATACCAATTCATCGTCAACGCAGCAGACAACAGAAAACTTAGTTTTGTGTAGGATCTAAATTTCCGGCATATTCTAAGAATATTTCCTTTGAAAAAATTTCACAAATTTCTCAATTAAAAGGAGAACCCTCATCAAATACCCCATAGGAAATGGAATGTATTTAAGCTTTGTGTTTGACGGCAACTGGATCATTCATAGACCACAGAATCAGTATGGATTAGATGATTGTTTGGTTTCAACTTTCAAGAGCAATGCAACATCTTGTTAACCGTATTTAAGAGCAATTTTTTTCTCACATTTTGTTAACATTACTTTAGATTTTCTCACTAGAGTCTAGAGGATACCTCCAATGAGATGGTTCAAAAGTTCGGAAGAAGACGCGTGTTCTGTTGGAATCAATCATTCTATCAATCCAAGTAGACCAAGTATTCAAAGCTATTCTGAATGCAGAGTCAATAGGCAATCCTAGCTTCAAGGTGTTACCAATCTGGAAGTAGCAACCCCTAACATGAAACAGATGAAGAAATCATAAGTTTTACGAATATCTAAAGTAAACAGACAAACAGACCAACACACACACATACATACACATACAAACACAGAGAGGGAGAGAACTGCCAACCTCCCTTTTCGATAATGCAATAATCAACTCACACATGGTATTTTATGTCCTTACCCTCAGGTTATCTTTTAACTACAAAAGAAAAGTACTTTCAATGTAAGACTTCATTTCTTGGGTAATAATAGACTGAAACCAAGGAGCCTCAGCACTTTGTGAAAGAATGGTCTCTGTGGCCACACTTACAGATGATGCGACTATGATAAAGATCAAGTACGTTCTTCAGAATACGATCAATTGGACATCCACAAATGCCCCAATCAGCTGAGCATATCAAACTTACAGAGCTTGTGTCCCTCATAAAGTATGCTTCAGAAGGGAAAACGAAAATCGAAGTCAACTTTAAAGTTTCAACACTAAAACACCCGATGGTAAACCTTTGAGAGTGTTTCCTTAACAGATTCATATAATATAGAAAATAAGGGCAAGCTCTGTCCCCACATAATGAGCGACAAAATTCTAAACAAAAGAAAAGTTGCATCTTCAGATTCTCTACGAGATCCTCAGGCATAAAAATTTTAGCAAATTTTATACCTCGCGAATTACTTGTGGCAGTTCCTAACAATTTATCCTTGTTCAGTAGTATCAATATTGGATTGAAAAATATATTTTTAACTGAATAAAATAAACAAGGAAAAAAATGTTAAGTTCATGCATTAAAAGATCCAGAAAGTGAAGAACTAATTCCACAATTGAGTACAAAGAGAATTTCACAGAATCAGGTATTCAAGGTTTGTTAGTCTCTGGTTACATGGTTTTTGTCTCGACGATTGCAATTTATGCGCAAGAATGAAAAGAAAGGAATGATATTGATGGAAACAATTTTACAATTCATATGCCCCAAGACTAAGATGATTTGATAAATCATCAAAAGAAAAAATTATGGCCAGCCTAAGACTTCAAATCCATCCTTAGAAAATAACAACCAATATTTTTAGAGCATGCCCTCCATAAAAACGTTCTTCAACTTTAGATACACTAAATATAAAATCAACACACATCACAAGTAATTTCAGAAGAATGCTACAGTGTGAACTCTAAGCCCGTTCATTGTCATGGATCCCAATTTTTCTTTTTCTTTTTATCTTTTTGTACTGGTATGACTCATCTCCCTCCTATTGAACACATGGACATTTTTCATAGAGGTAGACTTCCTGCGGTGTTATCAGAGAGTTTCCAGAAACTCAGGCTCAATTTTCAAGTTGTTTTTTTCCCAATCGATTTTGTTCTTCAAACCATCTTGCTAATCAGCATATCTATATACATAATGACCCTCTGCAGTTAAAACTGAAACGTCATTTGTATGTTATTGGTTTGTTCATGATGATCCATAACTGAAACAACAAAGTGACTTGTATGTAAAAAGACTGTAAAAGAACAATTGTCTTGATTCCACGTGACACGACTTGTAATCTAGTTCCCTGGCAATCTGAAATCCATTTCCCCGGCAGTAAGTAGCTTGGGGAATTGGAGTTCAACTGACAGCTATAATGGCTCAGAACTGCAAATATTAACAACAATCACGGTAATTATAAATCATCATGAAACATAGTAAACCTTTAATATGATTTGGGAGATGCGCAGTCAATTTATCGCGTTGAGTCATGAGTACTATAGCCACAATAGAGACGTGGTAGCATCTATCTGATAGGTCTAACTTCATAAATATTATTCTACTCTTTTCAGGGAACGGACTACCAAACAAAAGATCAGTGAGGAAAAGCAAAAGCAGAAAAGGAAAGACACTAGACGACATATTTGTTGGGACAGACACATGCATAATGAGAAACGGAAACATATGCATTTATTTAAACACATGTCGAAGGTAAAGGCATTCTATACGCTAGTGAATAACCACAGGCAACAACTTTTCCCATTTTGAACGAGTCGGATATGCATGTTCACCATGATGTACATATATTGTGGAGGAAGGGCAAGTCAAAGTTCAAACAAACCAGAGCAATGATGAGCATAAGTGCTGATAAAGTACTTATCTAAGATTAATTTGCCGAAATAGTACTCGTAAGTCCAAATTCAATAGTGACTATTAACACTCTTCCTGGCTTATACAGGCAGATATTACTTCATAAATCAACAATTCTACAGAGATGATGCATGTGAAGTTTCTCTACATTGATCATCTGATCTGAGTACTGATCAACTTCCCTTAGAACGGCGCTTCTTTTTAGTTTTTTACAACTCCCGGGTTCATATCTTTCACTCATAACCAGTGTTCCCTTTCTAATACAAAGCAACGATTTTCTTTGACTTCATTAATCTATGTGATCAATCAACAAACGGAACCAAATGCAAAATTAGTTTCTAACACTTGCACGTTTCCCCTTGCTAAGTAAAGCAAGATGAATTTCAACTAGGTACAACATGGTTGAATTAAAGAGTTTGATAAGGCGTGCAGAATTACTAATAGATCCACCGGATCTACAATAATACAAATTCCAGTCTCGACAGTACAAGCAACAAAAACAAAGGACACATAAATAAATTAGAGAATTACGTTGAACCAGCAGAGCTTATATAAACAGGCACGAATTGCTTAAGGATGGCTAGGTCTAACTTGAAAAGTGGAAAATAGTCATAATCAAAATGTGTGGGCCAAAAATCATGAGAAATAAAAGCAATGTGAAATGTAAAGTAAAACCAAGAACAATATGTTTCTACTGTAAGTCATCTAAACAAATGCCTCACTACACAAACATTTATGGAAAAAAGAACTCAAGCCTAACAGACTTTGAATAAGATAAGTCATAACAATTAATGGCGAAGCAAATGTGGTATAAATGAAAGTCATCTATGTTAAAGAAGAAACAAAACTTACATTCCAAAAAGCTTCCCCGGCACCCACCATTGTCCAGTATTGAATATCAGAACATCCGAATTTATCCACTCATTACTGATATCATCCAACTTGTCCAGCCTCAGTGTCGATCTAACCCTTTTTGGCCCACGTCTCGGTGCCCAGTTATGTTGCACAAGGAACACTGATCTAAAGAATTCGATAGTAAAATTGAGAGAGCTGAATCTCGCTCCCAGGAATCTTATTTGTTTTGTTATCTTGCTCCTATTTACTTCATAGACACTTTTCTTATCTTCCACCCCAGTCATCAACAAACATATCAAGGATTCCCATTGTGTTCTACTCATTGAATCACCAACAAAAACGATTCTTTTGTTACGTAACATTTGCAAAAGATGTTGCACATTGAATTTCGAAATGGCACAACTTTTCGGCTTCCATCTCCACTTAAGATACCCATCATCCTTCCGACCATTTTCTAAGCAGTTGAATCCTTGCTCTACAAAAGGGCATTCAGAGGCATTGTACAAGGGATACCTATCATCCAATATCCAATCCCCATAAAACAAATCACAAGAATTATCTGAACCATTCAAACCAGAAACACTGTTGTCTTGAAAACGAGAAGTCTGTGTAAGACTGGGAAGAACATACAGATACCTCAAACCAATAGCCAAGAAAAAAGAAAGAACAAACGCTATCCCAATGGGTATCAGAATGGACCTAGAACTCCAACTCCTTCGGCTAAGTCTAGGGCTGCCAACAGCTCTAGGACTGCCAATGGTTGAAACCCTTTGTTTTAATGAAACACTTCTGCTAAAACTAGTCATTATCTCAATCATTTACAGCCCAACCATCGCATGTCACAAAATTCAATCTCAAGAACATGTTCACAAAAAGCGTTCCAGCAAAATTCCAGGGGCTAAAACACCCGGACGCATCAATTAGATAATCAGCAAAGTAGTAAACCATTCACAACAAACCGAATTGAGCTAGAATCGGTAATGTGAAGCATTTAGCAAAAACAAAAATTCCCATCTTGATTTTGCAGCATATATAGCACTCTCGATTTTGATTCAGAATCACAAGAACAGCATAAACCACTTCAATTTGTATTGTGATCGGTATCAAAATCTTACCGGAAAAGTGAAAATGAGGTAAAATCCACCACCCCTTTTGATATCTGATTGAATCCGGCCACCTCAAATGTCCCAAACCAGAAAATAGCCAGACTATCACAAACTAAGTACCCAATGCAGGAAAATAATGGTTATTTACAGTGATAAAATTGGAAGCTCTAAGTTAGCCTTCAATCTGCAAAATCTTGATGGAAAATTCAGGAAATTTAAAAGTTGCTATCAGAAGTTGAAAAGATTCCTGAAAAGGAAAAAACGAGCCAGAAATTGAAAACCCAGAGTTATAATTTTCCCCCTAAATATAATATTTGGTTTTTTTTTCCTATAGACCGACACGAATCATATCTTTTTCGCAATTTTTTTCTTATTATTTCACATTGTAGTCTTTGTAGATCAATATTTTTTTTTTTTTACAATCACATACCATTTTTTGCTTTCTAAAAGAAAAAGGGAAATGTGTAAGTGTAACCATTTTTGACATTTACGGAATTTATTTATAAAAGGGTTTTAAGTACACACAAATCTTAAATCAATTTATTTGGATTTTGATGGAAATTTCAAATGTCCGTGGGATATTACATAAGTTAGAAGATATAATGCAATAAAAATTAGAAATAAACATTCCATATCTAATGTAAACTAATAAGAAAAATGATTCCTTTGAAGAATAAGGCCACTCTCAGAAAATATTTAAATGTAGTAAGAATAAATATTGTGTTACCTATATAATATGCCTTATTGACACAAAAAAAAAAAAAAAAAGTTCCGCGAAATACACGTGCATCTCGTAAAAATGACTTTCTTTTCTTAAACCAAAATGTTCAAATTTGATATTAATTAAGTACTTACTATATAAGAATCTCATAATCAAAACAAATACTTTACTGATTTTTATGTGAAGATATCATGGGTGCGAAAAATTAATATCAACATGACATGACAAATTTAATGTCAACTAATAAAGAAAAATTAATTTTTTAAATAATAAAATACTGACATAAAACATTAAAATTTAGTAAATTATTAAAGAATAAAATTATCCAGATGCTATTTCTTACACATAAAATATGGGTGAAATTCACTAGCGAATGTTAAATAAAATTTTTAAAGAATGAAATCATTGCCATAAAAGCAATTATATTATGAAATTTTCCAAAAACTATGTCTCCAACTACGCATAAATGATAAGTGAATTTCACAAATGACTCCGTGAATACGCCACATAGAGCAAAAATAGGTCACTTGAGTTGTTTATATTTTTATATCGATAAATATTTTCTGACTACTTTTAAAAAATAAAGATCTCAAATAGAATAAGAGAACGATGAGTTATTATAACATAAGTATTAAGTGCATGTTGGAGGATGCACTTAATATGAGTACACGCACGCTTAACATGCTCTTGTTTTGCTGGTTCTAATTTTTTTTAATCTGCAACTCACGCGCCCCTTCCCCTTAATTTAGGAACTGAGTTTTAAAAATTTCTTAAATATTAAAATTACTTTATTTCTTAATCTGTAAATAATTAGACCAAGTGTCTTATATCATTTTGATAGTACTCAACGAGATTTATCCAACAAGATCCCTCATGAATATATTTTTCAAAACTTAAAAAAATTATGCAGTAGCCTTGTTCTTACTAAAAGACATTCTAGTCTTATTGTGTCTTTTAGGACCAAGACCTACAGAATAGATCTAAGGGCAAAGACCAAAGACCAAAATTGAATACCAAAGAGCAAAGATCAAAGACTAGAGTAAAGAACGAGCGTGTGTGAGGAACAACGACAAAAGACCAAAAGCCAAAGACCAAGAAACCGAAGACCAAAGAGCAAAAACCGAAGACCAAAGACCAGAGTGAAAGAGCGAGCGTTGTGTGAGGAGGAAAGACCAAAGACCAAAAATCAAAGATAAAATACCAAAGACCAAAGGCCAACGGCCGAAGACCAAAGACCAAAGACCGAAGGCCAACGACCAAAGACCAAAGACCAAAGGTCAAAGTTAATTGGTTTAAAAAAATTTATAAGGTTAATTGTGTTACGACATAAACTAGGCCCTAACCGACACGAAAAATACTTAAACCCCCTAAACCATAAACCCTAAACAACTAGACACTAACTGAAACGGAAATGGTCAAATCCCCCTAAACCCTAAACATACTAATTTTTTTTCTTGGATTAAATTTTTTTAAACCAATTAGGCTAGGGTGCTAATTGGTTTTAAAAAATTTATAAGGTTAATTGTATTACGACACAAACTAGGCCCTAATCGACACGGAAATATTTAAACCCTCCCAAACCCTAAATAACTAGACCCTAACCGATACGAAAATACTCAAAACCCCCTAAATCCTAAACATACTATTTTTTTTTCTTGGTTTAAATTTTTTTAAACCAATTAGGCTAGGGTCTTGTAACTGGTTTAAAACAATTTATAAGGTTAATCGTGTTACGATACAAACTAGGCCCTAACCAACAAGGAAATCCATAAACCCCCTAAACCCTAAACAACTAGACCCTAACCAACGCAGAAATGGTCAAACCCCCTAAACCCTAAAACATACTATTTTTTTTTTCTTGGTTTAAATTTTTTTAAACCAATTAGGCTAGGCTCTCGTCTAATAGGTTTAAAAAAATTTATAAGGTTAATCGTGTTATGGCACAAACTAGGTCTTAACCGCCACGGAAATGCTTAAACCCCCTAAACCCTAAACCCTAAAGAACTAGACCCTAACCGACACAGAAATGGTCAAACCCCCCTAAACCCTAAACATACTAATTTCTTTTTCTTGGTTTAAATTTTTTTAAACCAATTAGGCTAGGATCTCGTAAAGCTTAATTGGTTTAAAAAAATTTAAAGGGTAATCGTGCTACGACACAAATAAGGCCTTAACCGACAAGGAAATGCTTAAACCCCCCTAAACCCTAAACAACTAGACCCTAACCGACACGGAAATGGTCAAACCCCCCTAAACCCTAAACATACTTTTTTTTTTCTTTTAAAAAAATTTATAAGGTTAATCATGTTACGGCACAAACTAGGCCCTAACCGACACGCAAATGCTTAAACCCCCCTAAACCCTAAGCCCTAAACAAATAGACCCTAACCGAGACGGAAATGGTCAAAGCCACGTAAACCTTAAACATACTAATTTTTTTTCTTGTTCCAAATTTTTTTTTCTTGGTTTAAATTTTTTTAAACCAATTAGAAAAAATTTATAAGGTTAATCATATTACGGCACAAACAAGCATGGCCATTGTGTCTTTCTGGAAGACCCAAGGGAATACATAAAAGTCAAGACCTACAACAACAAATAAAAAGACCAAACTGTTTGCACAAAACACTTAGAAGCAACAAGTAAGACCAGAGTGCCTTTTAGGAAGACCAAGGTTATTTAATAAATTTTTTTAAGTTGCAAAAAACATATTCATGAGGGATCTTGTTGGATAGATCTCATCAAGTACAATCAAAATGATATAAGACATTTGGTCTAATTCTTTACGAATTATGAAATAAAATCATTTGAAGATTAAAGAAAATCTTAAAATTCAAAAACTTAATAAACAAAAAAAAAAAAAATCTGCACATTGGGCACGCAGATGCAAGCTTCACGCTGTGCAATAGCGCGTGAATATCACACGTCATTAAGTGCAGCCACCAAGCTGCACTTAATGCGCAGCGTATAATTTCCGCACTATAGTAAAGAATTGAACAGTACAAAAGTCATCAAAAGAGAAGAAAATTAACAAAACATTGATAGAAAAAAGGAGAAAAAGTAGATATAAAAGGAAAAGTACTTGCAACAAAAAAGTATACTAGAGTGAGGGCTCCACCTTTACCGATAAACATCTTTAGATGGTTCATTATGGTAAATACATACACGAACCTCAGATTTTGCTCCTGACCTTGTCATCTAGGGTTTGGTTGTGGTGGTTTTACTTCCCAGTTAGAATGGATTCATCCATCTCTGGTGAGATTCACAGAGTTACCAAAAAAAAGGAAAAAAAGGATAAAATTATATAGAAATAAAATGATGAGTTTTATTACTATAGAACCTAATCATATCACTTTTAATATATTTTCTAGTTGATCACAGTTCTAAACTATAACAGATTTTCGCCCATTATCATTAATATAAATATTGTTGATGGTATGATAGATAAGGAAGTGAGAAACAAAGATAGAAAAATATAGCTAAATTACACATAACGAGGATCCAAAGAATGTACAATAAATTGATTGCGGATAAGAAATAGCAAAATGCGAATTGTCACACTTAAAAAATCGCTAATTAGACTAGACTAGTATCTCATTCAGTCCAAATTGTTCTACAAAGGAAATTTGCTCAAAACATAAAGGTTTTTAATTGGATCATTATATTCTTTGGTTGTACTAAGTTTCGAATTTTTGTTTTGCAAAATTAAATAGTAATACTTGCATTATGAGTTGGTGGTTCAGTCGAACCTTATACTTGTACTCTTGTCCTTTTTTTTTTTTTTTGAAAATCAGAAAAGAAAGGGCGATGTTTAAATTCTACAGAAAATAATCAAGGGGTATACCCAAGAGATATTTTTTAGCCAGCCAATGCTAGATGGTACAATGCACCCAAGGGGTATACCCAAGGGATGAACATGTATACCATCTAGTTCCCTAGTGTCGCTCCTCCAAGGTATTCCCATTAAATCACCAAAATAAGGCCTGGCAGTGCTTAAAACTTACTAGTATACATGGCAACTACTTGATACGAATACGTAAATAAGGAAAAGAAATTTGATCTAATCGTAGAAGGCCCCTAGTGTGTCTAGGCAGACCATTCAAACAAGTACATGTAGCTAAGTGGTTGAGAGATCCTTGTCCGGCAAGACTGTCCGCAACTGCATTAGCTTTTCTGTAAATATGAGATATTGTGTAAGATCTTCGAGTCATCATCATATGGATCTCCTTAATCTGAAAATAGTATCTCCAAGGGATTGCTTGCGAAGAATTAAGAAGATCAGCCAGTACTTTGTTGTCTGTCTTTACAGACACCAAATCTAGACACAATTGGTCGCATTTCCTTATTCCAAACAAGAGTCTGTACACCTCAGCACCAAAACAATCATCATTGTCAAGGAAACTGCTCTCTCCATACATAAGATTTCCATCGCCTTCTTTGATAATAAAACCATACCCCGAATCAGCATTAACCGCCGAACCATCAAAATTTAGTACAAAACCTTACGGTTGCGGCGGTAACCAATGAACAAAGATATAACTCCGTTGTTGAACATTTTTCAATTTGATGCCGAATTCACTTTCTACAAAGCTCCTTTCCTCCTCATTCCTATGTTCCTAATTTCTATCACAATTTCCAGGGTCACCTTTTCACATATAAAATTGGCCCCATCATAGCAAACCCTATTTTTGATTTTCCAAATTTCCCATAGGATAAATGACTGTAAGACTTTAATCAGAGATGGCCTCACCGTTGTAAAGCTGCCATTGCTCCACCATTTTAACAAAACCTCCACCAAAGGAGTCTCAGCCACCAAGTCAATTCGGAAAATATTGGCAAAATGCACCCACAATTTGTAAACTTCAGGACAAACGAGAAAGCAATGTTCAATGCTATCTTCTTGCATCTTACAAAAACCACAATTAGAAGGTCTAACCTGGATTCCAAACTTACACAATATCTCAGGGAATGATACCAACAAGTTTCAAAGCTTTCAAAAAAAAAAGAAACTTTTAGCGGGATTAGTTTGTGCCAAAAGTTCTTTGCCAAAAGGATCCTCCAAGTTCCTTTTCCCCAATTGAAGATAGGCAGTCTTAACAGAGAAAAGGCCTATAGGGGAATGATGCCATATAAATAAGTCCCTCTCCGCATTCAGGGTTAGCTCCATATTCGACAAAGATTGCACCACATTATGATCCAAGAGATCCTGAAAATCATTCAAAAGAGAAGCTTTGTTAACAAAGAAATTATGAATGGTTAAATCTAGAACAGGTGGCCGCGCATCATTTGAGCTCCAAATAATTCCATCCTTCATCAAATTATTGAACCAAAAAGACTTGTCTCCTCCGCGGATCAAAACTTTAGAATGCTTTGCCACCTCCGTTTCGATTTTCTTGATTCGATTCCATGTTTTTTTTTGTCTAGCTGCTTCAGAAAGTGAAAGCATAAACTTGCTCCACAGTTCTCTTTGATGCTTCACTTTCCGCCAATGCTTATATGAAAAAGCTTGAATCACATCTTGAAACCACCGAAGCCCTAGTCCATTTTCATTTGTTGGGAAAGGCAGACAATACCAGGCCCTCCAATATCTTTTCTTTTCATTACTTGATCCTTGCCACAAGAACCTCTAACACCTCTTTTCCATCTGCCTAATCACCGAAATAGGGGGGCTGATTGCCGAGAACACATGAAGAGGAATGGACATGAGCACATGCCTTAAAAGTACAAGTCGTCCGCTTGAGCTTAAGAGCTTGTTTTTCCAGTTTGTTAATCTTGAATCCAACAAAAACTGAAAAGTGGAGGCCTTACTTCTTCCATGGAATAATTTGCAGCCTAAAAAATATATAAAAGGAAAGTAACCTTTCTGCATCCCTAACGTCCTTTCGATGATTTCAACTCTTTGCACTCGGCATGATTCCGCAACCAGGAAGAACCTATTATTTTGATTCATTTTCTGCCCAGAAGCGGCTTCATAATCAGCAAAGAAAGTGTTTATCTCCTTCAACGATCTCTTCTCTCCCCTTGTAAATATTATCAAGTCATCGGCTAAGCTTAGATGAGAAACTCGCACTCTGCTTTTCATGAGGGAAGGGACATCATTGATAATGTTGTTTTAGCACAGGATCTTTGTCAGTTCATCAATCAGAATGTAGTAGGGAATAATGTGGTGATAAAAGTTGACATGATGAAGGCATTCGATCGAGTGTCTTGGAATTTTTTGGAAAAAATCCTTCTAAAGCTAGGGTTTCCAGGGCGTTTTGTTCAAATGGTTATGAATAATTTGCGTGACAGTTGGTTTCCAGTGATGATAAATGGTTTTCCAGCTGATTTCTTTAAGGCATCTCCTGGCATAAAACAAGGTGATCCACTCTCACCTTATTTGTCTATCTTTGTAGCGGAAGTGATGTCAAGGCGTTTAAAAAATTTAGCTCAATCTAGAAAGTTAGCGGTGCCCTAAACCCTAAACCCTAAATTCATAACCATTTGAACAAACCGCCCTGGAAACCCAAGCTTTAGAAGGATTTTTTCCAAAAAATTCCAAGTCACTCGATCGAATGCCTTCATCATGTCAACTTTTATCACCACATTATTTCCTATTGCTTTCCGACTGATGAACTGACAAAGATCCTGTGCTAAGACAACATTATCAATGATATCCCTTCCCTTAAGAAAAACAGACTGTTCTTTAGAAATGAGCTTTGGCAAAACCTTCTTCAAACGCTCCGTGAAAATTTTTGTAAAAAAAATTTTATTGAGGAAGGTGCATAGAGTGATTGGTCTGAAATCCGAAAAAGTACTAATCGTAACTTTCTTTGGAATTAAGGTAATCACCGTACTAGCAATGGCTTTTGGAATCAGAACTCCTCCCATAAATTCCATACAAGCATTCATCAAATCTTTGGCTATGATACCCCAACAAGATCGATAGAAAGACCCCCCGAATCCATCTACACCAGGCGCGCCCCCTTCATCAAGGCCAAAGACAACACCCTTCACCTCATCCAGCGTAATCATTCCAATAAGCATCTCCTTTTGTGTCGGATTAAGTTCATCATGAAGGTATTGCAAGAATTTCTCCTGTTTCTCCCATTGCTGAGCTGGAACTTGGTTCTCCACCAATAAATTTTGGAAAAAAGATACCGTCTCGTTCTCCAATATCTTTCAAATCTGCCAGGCTTCTTCCATCTTCGGTTTGGATTTTTGAAATGCCTAATTTAACTTTTCTCTCACCCAATGAAGCACGAAAAAAGGCTGAATTTGTATCCCCTTGTTTTAATCATGTAAGAGGCATCTTTTGTTTCCAGGAGTCTTCGTGCTCTTTCAACTTTTGTAGAAAAAGAGCATTGGCCACATTAAGGTTGATCCTATCAGTAACATCACTAGTCCAATCAAAATTGACTTCCATCTCTCGGACTTTTTCTTCAGCCTCGTAATTTTGAAAAACGTTACCAAAATGCTCCTTATTCCATTCTTTTAGCTTCACTTTCAATCTTCGAAACTTTTATGAAAAAGCTAACATTCCAAAACCCTCAACCGGCTGAGACCAATTAATCTTCACCATATCTTTGAATTCAGGCCTCCTTAGCAACATTTTCTGAAACCGAAACAATCTTGGCTTGCTTTCAACTTGCACATCAAATTGGAGGAGAAGCGGACAATGATCCGATGCCGTTCGACTAAGGTTTTCAATCGATGCCCGTGGAAACAAATCCAACCACTATTTGAAAACATAATTCGATCCAATCTTTTACTTACCCAACCTGTACTTCTAGTGCCGCCCCAAGTGTACTCTTCACCAATCGAAGGAAGCTCCAGCAGATTATTTACCTCAATACATTGATTAAACTCCTCAATTGCAGCATAATCTTGGACTGTAGAACCTGAATACTCCTCCAAGGATCAAATGACATTGAAATATCCGCCTACTACCCAAGGAGAGGTGGAATGCAATCTTCTAAAATCGACCGAATTGCTCCAAAGTGAACGTCGATCAACCTTATTCGACTTTGCATAAATTGATGATAGGAAAGAAATTTTTTGGAGTGGAACATAGCAGACTTTGACGTGCAATACTTACTCCGCATCCTCCTACATGTTGATCGTAAATAGATTGCTACACATTACCCAAATATTTCTATTGGAAGATAAGAAAGCCCAATCAAAACTCAGCTCCTGTTTTATTTCATCTAGCTTGTGCACCAGAAGCATTGGCTCAAGAATGACCAGTAAAGATACCCTATACATTCGAAGAAGTGATTTCAGATGCCTTTGCGACGCCTGACTTTTTATTCCTCTAATATTCCAAACAAAATGATACTTATCATTGGAAACATTTTGGGGAGTTTATAACCTACTGAAGTCAGAGGCTCCGCCTTAGCTCGACACCCTCAAACTGTTTTGCAATCTCAGCTTTCGATGTTTGACCGCGCTTTCTTTTAATGGATAACTCTCCTTGTGTATTCTCAATCAAGGGACCGTTGTATTTTTCTCCTTCAAACCATCACCCCCATCATCTTCTTCTTCTATCTCATCCGGACTTTCAAATTCAATCATCTGGAAATCTTCCCATTCCTAGCAGCATTGAAGGCGCCATATTTTGCAATTCTGCTTCAACAACAATGCTGGCTAATCGCTGCTGGCCATCGTTATTCTCCTCAGAGTAAACATTTTTGACATCCTCATCAGATTCCACTACCAGATTAACTTCTTGGTCTTCTATAGTCTGTAGCGCTAAAAACCTATTTGAGGTTTTGCCAGGGACGATCTCATTATTCCCTGGCGCAAGATCACATCGTGGAATGCTTTCCTCTATACTCCGTTTAGCAAACAAAGGAGCTTCATCCTGAAGGTCTACTGGAATGACTTCTTTCTCTTTTGCGGACAGACGTGGAGAGAATTCAAGCACACACTCCGCAATGATTGGTTCCGCAACCCGCGACGCTAGGGTTTGCTCTGCTAGGGTTTTCTTCGCAAGGGCCTGCGACTCTAGGGCTTGCGATGGTAGAGATTGTGAATCTACTCCTTTCACAACTAGAGGATTCATTTGAATTATTTGGACATCTAAGTTTTGCTGATTTTTCTTCCCTTCTCCTCCTTTAGACATCCAATTCAACACTCTTCCCCGCATCTATCTTTTCCAATGGAGCCTTACCAATTCGACAATCTTCTTCTTTGTGGCCAATCTTACAACACTTTAAATAGTACGAAGGAACATGCTCAAAGGTAAAAAAAATTGTTCATGCTTCTGTCCTTTCTTCCCAATCTTAAGTGACTTCAGAAGCTCCTTGGTGAGATCCACCTTTACAGAAAAAATGTGCAACAGATGGGCGAGTCATATTCAAAGTAGGTGTATCCACCTTCAATGGTTGACCTATAGCCTTGGCCATTGAAAAGATAACCTCTGGATGCATATATTTAATTGGTAAATCAAAGAGGGAAACTGATATTGACACCACCGGGGGGTCTTCCTCGAATCGAAAGCCGGGTTTCCATTTCAAAATTCGCATAGAGAAACCTCCAACATTCGAAAATGTCTGTATCTAACGTCTTTGGTAATCATCCTCATGTTCAAACCGGATCAACACATGCATAGGGTTCATAAGACCCAAAGTGTAGGCTCCATTAAATCCGATTTTCTTAAACTCTTTATGGTTCTCCTCCATTTTTGGTCAGCCTTATAAAACTTCCCAACTAGATGTAATCGATGCGGAGCAACCAATTTTTCAAACTCATCATCTTCATACTCAAAAGTGGAGTGCCATTTACGAATTTCACTTGCTTGATAAGAGAACTTTTGTTGCTTTTAACGTCAGTAGGCTTCTGAAAAACGCTAGCAATTGTTTTCTGAGGCCCAATTTGGAGCCCCCAGTGGGTGGGGGACGGCCATGAGGGCCGTGAAACAACGACTTCGCCGTCACTTCTAGGGTTTTTTGATAGAGAGAAAAGAGGGTATTTTGGGAACTATACTTGTATTCTTCTCCCTATTCAAATGGTTCAATACTCGATCCGAGTCTTGATACATTTTGAAGGACAAAGATACAAGTTGTTGAGCTTAAATGATAACATTAGTGCAATTGTTGATAAGAAATTCAGCTATGACTTTTGTTTCACCATATTGAGGCCTCAAAATCTATCTCAATCATTGTTGTTTGCTTTTCCTATGTTGTACTAAAAGATAAAATTTAAACTATAAGTCATTTGCTAACATTAGTGTAATTGTTGATAAGAAATTCAACTATGACTTCTATTTCACCACTTAAAATCTATCTCAATCAATGTTGTTTGCTTTGTCTATGTTGTACTAAGAGATAAAAATTTAAACTATAAGTCATTTCGAGACAAAAAATGTATACTCTTTATATATATATATATATATTTGAGGCTTTATTATGAGAATTTTGTATTCTAATTGATGGGTTAAGGTTGAAACTATTAAGTTTGTCGTTTTCAAATTGAAATATATTTCTTAGAAAAAAAAATTTGTTACATCATTGATGTGATATGTTGAAAGTGCATCAACCTAACCTTATAAAACCAATACTTGGGAAAATGTTAAGAGAACATTTTCTGCACCTATATCTCTCACTCATTAGGTAAGAAAACTCATAATTTTCCATTTTGTTGCTCACTTCACAAATCATTACAATTTTTCCTTAATTTATTATTTAGACTTCATATAGTTCTACACGATACAATTGTTGCAATATTATAGTATCTAATTAGGCTCATTTTCTTTATCTCGAAATTTTCTTTTCTCATTTTCATTACTGTATATTAAGAAACCATGGAAAAGAGTTTCGACTTGTGTTTAGGCTTGGTGTACAATTATGAAAAATTAGGCTAAATTTGGATTGGTGATATTTTCTTGAATTGAAAAACAACATCGAATGAGTGGGATTATTAGGCATTGGGCTTGTTTGGATTGTATTTTATTGTTTCTGTTATTTATATTCATTAAGAAGACTGTTGAATAGTAAAAATGTATCGATATCTAACCATAGAGCGAATGTTCATTTCTAGCTATGAGTATTTGTTGATGGACACCCTGTGATTTCTTACAGAAAAATAAATTCGCAAAAACTATATAATGTTGGAATAAATAATATTTCTAACTCACCCACTCCCCCCCCTCCCCCGCGAATTCCATTAGAAGTACAATCACCAATAAAATTTTGCCTAAATCCAGAACCTGACAACAACGTAAGAAGTCCACACTGAAGGTGATTTTTTTTTTCCCTTTCTCTAGCTAAGAGAGTGAGTGAGTTCAGTTGAGAGTAGTGTTTTTTCAATCAAAATTCAAGATAGTTTTCACGACCTAGTTTTAAAATTTAAAAATTTTTTAAATTTCCAATTCAGATGTATCTGTGTTCAATGACAAACTTTCATAATGTGAAATTTTGATAGATGTGCTTGCATTGTTGTTATATAAATTGAAAATATCCATTTTTATTTCAAACTTGAACCATTGCATATTTTTTTCTCAAGTCACTTTTCAAATTTAAATTGTATGGTGCCTTTGAATAATTTCTTGTGATAGCTTAAGATTTTTCTTCCTAACGTCTACAGAGTTGGAGCAGGCTTGAGAAAAGGGTTTCATCACAATGGAGGAATCAATAGTGAAATGGATGAGGAAGTTCACATTGTTTGATTTCAGCGCCGGGGGTTGAGGTTGTTGATTTGGAAATAAGAAATGCTACAAATGCACTTGACGAGTATGAGAGAAGCCTATTGGAGCCGATCTAGGTCTGCATAGATTCTTTGGGTCCCTAGACTTAATGGATGAATATGATGGAATTGAAGTAATATATGGCTTAAGTGAATCTCTAATAATGAACTATTGATGCTTGACTCATTCCTTAATAAGCTAACAATTAAAAAATAAACTTATTTTTGATTCTCAATGAATTAAAGAAGATGGTCAATGCAAACCATTAAAAAAGTTTTTGGAAGTTCATGAAACTAGAGTCTATATTTCAGTTCTAAATAAGCTTAAAAGGTGCATGTAGGGTTTAGTAAGTTGGAGGAATACAAATGCGAAATTCAAAGTATTAGATTAAGAGGATAAAAAAGTAAACGGAGTCAATATAGAGATGAGGAACATATGAATTAGTTAAGATGAGATCAACTAAAAATCAAGCCGGGTGAGGCTTATAGTAAGGAAAAGGAATATGGTTTCGGAAGTTCAAATGATCCAATAATTGAAGGAGGTGGATAGAAAACACAAAATTCTTCCATGTAATAACAACTGAAATGAGGAAGATGTATAAAGAAACTAGTCAATTCAGATGGGATTGAGAAATATGGAATGAGGTGACCGGTGAGATTGTTGGTTACTTTCAAGAGATGGTTCAATTTGAGTGCAATGGCGAAATTGATAAAACTCGTTAAGAGGTGTCTTGCTCTATAACTATGAATATGAATGGAAAACCAACTAAGAATGTTAGATTGGAGGAAGTCCAAGGTGTTTTGTTTGCAATACCTAAAACCCCTACGGCGTGTATGACACCAATTTTCTATCAAAAGAATTGAAATTTAATAAAATCTTTTTTATCTGATGTTGTTAAAGGTTTTTTTCATGACTGGTTTCCTTGTTATCTTTAATGGCCAAACTTTTTATTCAAAATTGATAATTCTAAATTATTTAAATTAAGAATTTATAAGTTTTACGTGGAGAGATATACAATAACAATCACACCACAACCACCATGGTTACGATTCTGATCCCGTAGGTGAAGATTTTGGACTCCGGACGTGTATCCCCTAGTTTTCTTTTCATAGTGAACAAGAATTGCACAACCTTCGGCCTCCGTTTTGGGGGTGGAGAGGTTCTTTCGAGAATTAGGAGTTATGCCAACTTCTCTAAATAGACTCTTAAAATCCTTCTTCCTCTGAGCCTTAAGTATTTTTTAAGTTGCTCATAGTTGCTACCAGTGCCTATTTGTCTTCTTCAAGAAGTGCTTGCCTATAAAGAAAAGGCAGTTTTTCTAATTTTTTTTTTTCACCTTAGAAGTTTCAATTCATTACGATCTGGCATGAAGTTGGATTTATATGATATCTCGTGAAATCTTTTGGTTACTGGTTTCATACATAAGTAAATCCCTCTATACTTTTTTGGAAATTAAGCCCCTAGCTCTTTAGATCCAATAAACATATAATGTTTGGATGTTGCTCAAATTTTAACATATAACCAATCTCTTCCTTGCATTTCGCAATATCTTCAACCCATTTCGCCTCAATAGGATGACCATTCAACTTACTTATTAGCGTCAATAATACAAAAGTGAGCATATTATTGGTGGATGATTTTGTGATGATTCTTGTTGAATCGCTTCCCAAAAGAATAATTTATAAATCTACTTAAAACTATTAGCTAGTGGTAAGCAGGATCGTTCCACAGGGACGACAGTCAACCAACTCAAAATCTGATTAAAATGCAGAAAAAGAAAGAAAACGGGTTGAATAGATTATCACTTGGGAGAGTGAGAATAGTCACTTGGCAGAGTGAAGAGGCAGAAAGATCAATCACCTTCCTACCTTTATGATCTAGTTTTGATTCAATATTCTTGTAGTGTATGATTAGTTGTTCGATAAGGTATTTATGTATCTTTATAATTCCTTCCAGATAGAATAACTGGAAGCTTAAAGACCGCCACGAAAAAGATATAGTCCGTCATTAACTAATTGTTGACTTCCAATTTTACCCTTAGATTCAAAATTTCAAATTCAAAATTTAAAACTCCTTTCAACCTTCAAATACTCAAACACTTAATTTTCAAATCTTCAAACACTCAAATCTTCCAAACATATTCAAATCATTGAATTTTTAAATTTCTGAATATGGATTTTTTTTTTTTCGAATCTGGAAACCGTCGGCCGGCGTCGGTGGTGGCTGAAATGTGACCGGCCGATGGAGGTGCCATTCCCAGAAGGATTGGGATGCCACACGTGTCGCCAACCACTGATTTGGACGGTATGGCCACCGTCAAGGAAGGAACGGACACTGGTGGCCACGTCCTGGGGGAAGTTGGACGCTCGGGTGCCGTCCAAGGGAACTGAGTCATCGACCGAAAAAGTAGACGGCAAGGTCGCTGTCTACTTATATAGAAAACGGCACGATCGCCCTCTTCT